TGTATGATGAATGAAAGGATCAGAAATAATGTATTAAGAGGCTTGGCACATAGTTGAGCAATAAATTATGATTATTTGTATTGATCAGGTGTTTTTAGCAATGTGAGAGCAAACACTGTAGGTTATCCTGTTTTTTGTTTTTTTTTTTTAATAGCATTATTCCATCAATATAATCATTCTGGGTTACTTCCACTCTTTAAGTCAGCTTTCAGGAATATCCTGCAATATGAATTTGGGTTTTAAATTTGCATAAAATTATAGCTATCTTTTCTGCTTGTCCTACCTCCTACTGACTCATTGAATCAGTTTAAAATAGAAAAGCTATATTTATTTTGAATAATGCTGTTACGGCAATGGCTAAAAATAACTGATATGCTCTTAATAATTAAGGCTGCATGCAGACTTTGTTCTAATTGAGAAATAATTCATACACCAATTTAGATATCTGGGAACTACTAACATGTAATAGATCTTTCTAATTTTTCTTTCCCATCCTTTCGTATACTGATTTTAAAGGCAAACTCCAGTGAAATGATAATAGACCCTAAGTGAATGAAAGTAGTTTGAAATAAAAAATTATATGTGTAGTTTTCTACAGTAAATTTATTAAAATCTTGATTTATAGGAAAGATAAGGTAGTAAATATTCAGATTATAATTTTTCCCTGTATTGCTGCAATGAATTATACTTCCATAATTTCTGCATGTTTTACTTTGTTTCCACAGTAACAATATCTTACCTTTTTGTGCCACTTCAATGCCTATCACGGTGCTATTTAATTGCTGATGAGGCAATTGTCTTTAAATGTTTTGAGTATAATCTTATTTCTAGAAATGTATTTTACTTATGAGTTCAGAATTAAAGATATTCCTTGTGCTAAGCCTAGTAGGTGATTGCTTCTATTGTAGCTGAATTTATCCATTATAATGTCAAAAGAAAGACCGCTTTCTTATAAGAATATTTTTTCGAGTGATATATGTATCCAATTGCGTTATTCAGCAGGGAATTATCTCGGTCTCTTGACTGCTGCTGCCATTTATTGGTGCTACCTTCAGCTTTACCAGTGTGCAAGTATCAATAAACCATGCTCATTACTTTCATATGTATATTCCAAAATTTTATATGGTTCCCATCTCCATATAAACTGTCCCTTCTCTTGGCAAATAACATGTCTAAAAGGCAGTTGCTGTTTTCTGTGTGGCCTGATTTGAATATAAACAATTTGTGCAGATACTAATTTTTTCTCCCTTCCTACCTCTCACCCCCTCCATCGTGCTCAATGCACTATGCTAGGTACTATAGGGGATCGAAAGAAACATAAGACTTGGTTTTGTCCTCAAGTAGCTTACCATCTATTGAAAAAAAATGTACACACAAAAAAGGATTCAAAAACAGTGATATATGATATGTCACTAGTAAACAATACAAGCTCACACACTATAGAAGATCCAAGGAAGATATTTATATTTTGGGCTAGAATGATGTGTAGTGTGTTGACTCAGTCTGAGGGTTAGTATAATATAATGGGAAAGGCACAAGATAATGAATCAGAAGACCATGTTTTCAACTTGATAACTTGCTAACTATTGTAACTTTATGACTTGGGCTTTCTGAACTTAATTTTTCTCATCTGTAAATTGAGAACCATGATCATGATAATACCTTCTCTGTCTACTTCAATTTGTGAATCATATAATAAATAAAATTATATAAGAATGTTCTGAAAACATTAAAGTATGATTTCAACCTAAGACTGTATTGTTTTAATTTTTCATCACATACCATAGTGTTTATGCTCAAACACTAATTTAAGAAATGTTAAGAATTCAATAGGAAAAGAGGAAAAATGCTGGAATATGTATATATGTATGTATGTATGTATGTTATTTAAAGGGGAGGAAATGACCAAAAAAAAGCATGACAGGGCTGTAATACAAATCTCACTTTTATTGTTTGTGGATAATTCATATTATATAATTACTTAGAAGCTAATAATAATTGTTATGAATAATATAAAGATAATTATAGCCACTATATACTATGGGCCAGGGACTCTAAGAACTTTTTATATATTTTCTAATTTAATCTTCACAACTATCCTAAGAATCATCCATTATTGCCCCCATTTCACAGAGGAGAAAACTCTGGGTCAGAGAGATTGTCACATAGCTAGTAAGAGGAGCAGGATTTGAACCTAGATCTGCCTAACTTCTAAGTCTATATTCTTATCCAATAATTTCCATAACTTTGGTATAACACACAAAATGCAATGGTAAACTCAGAGTCAAGTGAAATGGTTTGATATATTTATTAAATCAGAAGACATTGGTATTTAAATAATAAATTATTTCAAGCAAAGGCGAAGTGAATGATGCTACAGAGGAAACGAAAAGGCCAGTTTATGATGGACTTGTGTGCCATGTATTAGAATTGAAATTTGATTCTGTGGGTAATCAGGAGCCACTGAAGTTTTCAAGTACAGAAATATGACCTGCCTGGCATAGAGTTGGTGTTCTATACATACCTGATGAACAGATGAATGACTGGGATTTGTCTTTTAGAAAGAGTGACATTGTGATAGTGTGGAATATGGTTTGGAGAGAAGTAAAACTGAAAAATAGGAAAACCACTGTAAGTGTTTGGGAAAAGATGACAGGCTGAACTGCTGGCATATAGGAGCTGGCTGGTACTGACTTGGAGAGCCAATTATGTATATCTCTGCCCAACTTCAGGTTTAGAGACATCAAGTTGGTAGTTGGAAATCAGCAATGGTGGGAGTATTTAAACCACAGATGTTGGCAAACACTACAAATTAGGTCTTTCTTTTTGGAGAGCTGATTTACCAACACACTACTGGCCTGAACAAAAGGTGGAAGAGGAGAAAATACTGACTAAAGGGGTAAATGAGGTAAAATCAGTGATACTTATCATCAGTCGGTTGATGGGGGAGGAGTGTCAATGGGAGATATTATAAAATTATCAAGTTTTTGGCCTGGATGAGTCAAGTGGGATACTGGTGCCTCATACTAAGAGAAGTGCAATATAGGAGAAAGATTATAAAATCTGTTCAGGGAAAATTGAAGTAATTTGTGAGACATGATTGTAAAGATGTCCAGAAGACAGTAGTTTTATAGATATGGACTAAAATGAGAGGTCTGGATTCAGTATAAAACATGGGAATCAGAGGTGGTTCAGCCTATCACCTGATAGTTATCATCTGATAGTTAAAGTCATGAGAGCAGATATACTTTTAAAACAAAATAAAGGGACAATCCTGGGAAAGGCTATGGTAAATCTTCATTTTTTAGAAAGTAAATATAAATGAAATCATGTCTTTTTGTTTAAAGACAATTTGAGAAAGTAGGTAGAATTATATTTTCTTTGTAAATACTGCACTTGGAATAAAATTATCACTACGATATGAATGAGTTTTAAGGAATATTGTTATCTGATGAAAACAGAAATGTTATAGATCAGATTTATAAAACCTTTACAGCAAGATGTATCAAAATCATACTTTAAAACAAAAATATTTTTTAATATCCAAAAGAAGTTTAACTCTATCAAACATCTGAAAGAACAAAAACATTCTATAAAAACAAAACAAATTATTTCCAAAATGTGATTATAAGGAATTCTATACTGACCTCTCTCTTGGTGCTATATTGTAATTGTTTATTTCTTTTGCTCTGCCATTAAGCTTTACTGGGGTAGGGAAAAATACTGTGTCTTTTATCTGCTTGGGGGCTTATACATAGCATGTATTCATAAAAAAAGATGTTTCTTCCATGGCAGCATGGGAGGTTCGAACAGATGATCTGGAAGATCCCTTTCGACCCTGAGAATATGAAAAGTGCTCATAGCTGCTTGCCACTTAAAAGAAGTGGGCTTAGTCCTTAGTAGTACCAAAAGGCCAATCTCTCAAGGCTACAGAAAAGCTCAATATTACACTGATTAGAATTTTCTAACAATTAAAGCTATCCAATAAAGGTAAGGCTGTTTCAGGAAGTGGCTATCTTTGAAGTAACTATAACGTAAAAGTAAAAGCTAAAAGGGACCTTAGATGTCTTCAGTTTAGGTCTTCCCGATCTTTTTCATACCGTTGCCTACACAGAAAATGGGTGTACAGCACATCAATATATCAAAGTGCACTTGTCACACGATCTCAGGGCTTCGATTGGGAAACTTGATTTAGTACAAAATCCTCATTTGCTGGGGCGAGGGGGATTGAGAGGGAATGATACATTCCCGGATCAAGACGTTAATGTTAATGCTGGGGCTAGAACTCACGTCTCCGGATAACTAGCCAGGCTCCTCCCCACAATTGAGACGGAATTAGATGTTAGGCTTGAACACTGGGTCAGTGTTATTTGCAGTAGATGGGGACGATAGTCTAGATCAGTATTGCTTGCAGTGTGGTCCCATGACCACTGCCATTAGAACTTGTTAAACTTTGAGGAATTTTTTAAAAACGCAGATTTATAGGCATCACACAAACAATGAACCAGGCGCTGCAGTAAGGCCCGGAAATCTGCATTTTTAGGTTTTAAAATACGCCCCATCCTCTACACCCTTCCTCAGCAGTATTTTTGGCTCCAGCCCGGGCTTGAACTGAGCGGCTCGGCTGGGCATTCGGCGCCCGCCAACCTGACCTCATAGCAGCGGCACAACCACCTCGTGTCCTGGTGGTAAAACTGTCTGTTACGTACTAACCCTTCCGGCTGTCACAGGCGGACTCAACCAGTGCGCGGTCCGGGAGAGACCGCCGCCGTACCTCCATCAGCTCCGGGCCTGGCGGAGGAACGGGGGCTGGGAGCAGAGGTGGCTCAGGAGCGCCCCTCTCGAGGCCAGCGCCCTCCGCAGGCGAGCCGGGCTGCGGTTTCCCTTCTCCGCCCCGAGCTCCTCCTCCTTGTTTGCAGTCCCGCCCGCAGGGAGAAGCCACTACGGCGCCTGCGCCAACTCTGCCTTACCCCGCCCCCTATCTACCAACAGGAAGTTAATAGATTTCCCATAGTGCCTCGCGAGTGGTGGGCATGATAGCGAACTTGGTAGGGTTGCACGCGGGTTCAAGTTGTTGTTGGGGTTCTTTTGTGCCAGGGGGCTCTACGAGCTTGGGGCCCCGTTACTACTTTGTCAGTGGGTGCAATGGCGCTTCTCCGGGGTATGTGGGGCGTGCTAAGTGCACTGGGAACGTCCGGAGCTGCTCTCTGCGCAGACTGTGGGAGTCGACTGCGCTCTCCCTTCAGGTAGGACCACTCGCTTACGCCTCAGTAGGCGGCTGGGCTAAGAGCGCCCTAGGGCTGGAGTGTAGATGGTTTCTTCACCTTTCTGCCCCTCCTAGGAGGTCAAGGCCACGTTGACCCTTTAATTCAGACTTCGACCTTGCCATAGGAACGGTGGCTTTGATACCAGGCCTTACCCCATCAGTACCCCGTATCTTGCTTCTGGCCACCCCCCACCTTCCTGCCCCTCCCCACTGTCCTGGAGCATTAGGTTCGGCGTTCTGTGCTAAGTCTCGCCAAGAGTCTCCCGCCATCAGCTAGGCGTTGAGGAGGCGGGGCCCAGGAGCTGGACTATAGGTGCTTTCTTCCACTCTGCTCTTTCTAGGAGGTAAGGGCTTTGAGACTTAATTTCTGCAGGCTCTTCCCTCTGGTTAGGACAGGATTTTAAATGTTATTACCTTTCTTGTCGTATATAGCATCTTGATGAAATCTTATTTGGGATCTGTTTATGTACATATGAATACTGGCACTTAAATACTTGATATCGCTTATTTTCTTTTTATTTATGTGTAGTTTTGCGTATATACCGAGATGGTTTTCATCCGCCTTGATTAGTTATCCAAAGAAGCCTATGACTTCATATGTTCGATTTTCTAAAGAACAGCTACCCATTTTTAAAGCTCAGAACCCAGGTAAGTAGTTTTGGGGTTTGTACTCTTCTCTGAGTCATAAAGAGGGCACTAAGCATTTAAACTGCAAACTTGATTTTCACTACCAAACCATCTAGTGATTGCAGGAACATAACCATTCTATTTGATAATCTGTAAAATGGGAGATATAATGTATTTTTTACCAATTAGAAATGCTTTAAATGTAATTGAGAACTAATGAAAGGTATTTTTAAAATAGCAGCATGTAGAGTGGAAAGCAACCAGAGAAGAGAATGTGAAAAAGCTGAATTTGAGGCCTCGTTGCCACTGGCCTAGAGGACCATTGATGAATCGTTTTATCCCTTGCTTACCTCCTTTTGCCTCGGAATTAACGAAGTTTCAGTAAAATACCTTAGGTGGAAGTATTCTGTAAACTAAAGCTCTATAAAAATAATTACTAATTTCAAGAAATTTTGCATTGAAAGATTCCCAGATAGGATGTTTGTTGACTCCCTAGAAAGGCTGTGTGCCCTTCATTTGGGGTTGTAATTTTAAGATATTTACTAAGTTAATTATAGCTAATTTTTGCTTATGATTTCTAAAGCCCTTTCATGTGCAGTACATCACAGGGCACTTGTGAAAATCAAATGAGCTATAATAATTCTCACATTATAAAGAATTGGTTTATGAGACATTTTAAGTATTCACGTCTTTTAAAGTATAGGAGTTGAAACTAACAAGTGGTTTGTTAAAGCATTTACAACCTGTCATTCCAATTAAGGTGAGGAAGGAAATGGAGAATAATGAATTGATTTTAGAATAATTTAGTTTATTTGCAAATGATATTTCTGTAATTGAAATACAAGGTGGTGGTATATAAATCAAAACTATCTTGTTGTTTATTCAGGTTTTAAGAACTTAATTCCTAAAAGACTTGAAAAAAATGTTTTGATTGAAATAATGAACTAATAAACTTGTCATTATTTGCTTAAACTAGTAATCAGTTTCTGAGACTTTTGGTGATATGTGATATACTCCTATAGTATTAGATAACAGACTTTAACAATTTGGATAAAGTATTGATTTATTTATTATTTAAATTCATTGGTTAAAGAAAAGATAAATCATTGTATTTAGTTGTATAGAGATGTCTAATAGAACTTAACTTTTAGAGCTAATGGGTTATATGCTTCCTAGAAGTTTTTAGAAATTAATCCTAAGACATACAATTTTGACATCTTTTCTCATTTTATTCTAATCCATAGATGCGAAAAATTCAGAACTAATTAAAAAAATCGCCGAGCTATGGAGGGAACTTCCTGAGTCAGAAAAAAAAGTAAGCATATAGATTTTCATCATTGCTGCAGTTACTCTATAGTTAGGAACAACTGTCATGTCCCTTAAGGGACCAGATGACCCAGATTTTAACGTCCATTTTCTACAAAGGAACTTCATACATTCTGATCTACATAAATGATGAGACTATGATGTATGGGGTGATGGTGAAGGGTTGGCAGCAATTGAAAGCTAATTGCTAGACTCTCATCTTGGTTAGCATGTATATGAAAAAGACATGTTTTTAATCCATATAAATGTGATTCCATAGCACATTTTCCACTTGGTGGTTCATTCTGTTTTTATCTGAAGTCATGCAGTTGTCTTTCCTTGGCAGGTAAGCTATGTTTTATTTTCCAGCAACAGTTTGACTTCATATTGGTTTTTTATTCATAGGTATATGAAGATGCTTATAAGGCAGACTGGCAGGCATACAAAGAGGAGATAAACAGAATTCAAGAACAGCTAACTCCAAGTCAGATGGTATCTTTGGAAAAAGAAATCATGCAAAAACGTTTAAAAAAGAAAGCAATAATAAAAAAGAGAGTGAGTATCATTAAAATATTATTTTCAACTGGCAAAAAACTAAAATTTATATAACAATATAGGTAGTTTTTCTCTGATTTTGATATGTGTGGCTATATGGTTGTATGTCAGGAAGTGTACTTCAATTAGGAATAGTTCTCTTCTGTCACTAGGACCACTTGCCATTGAGTTTATCTTGGAAACCCTTGTTACTACTTTCAGATATATCTGAATTAAAGATATTTGATTAGAACTAGAATAAAAGCTGTAGGAATAGAGTTATGAAATAGCTAGATCTTGCGAGAATAGTAAGAATCTTTGCTTCTGGGTCTTGTCTAGAATAACTCACTGATTTCGATTGTTCTATAGGTAATGATGAGTTTGATTCTGAATATTGCCAAATAGACTGAATTTATTAACACATCAGGGAAAAGTGCCTGTTGCATCTTCACATGGTTCAAAAATTGTAGTGCTTAGCTTAAGGTATTAATCCACATAAATTCCATTGCTTGAAACTTAAGAGTACATTTTTCTATAGAACCAATACTGGGTGTGAGGTGGTCAACTTGATGGTCCAGGACGTATACTATAGAAAATGGTCAACAGAGTTAAAGTTATTTTTCTGGAAAAGTAGATTACAGTCTTTAATGTGAGATGCCACAATATCTATCCCTGACCCTAATGACTTAAGTCCTCTTACCTCTAGGGTTGAGGACTCAGCCAATTTCAAGTCAATGATGGTAATCTAAGGCTGCTGATCCAACTAGAAAAGGGGGCCAGAAAAGATACCAAGAGTGAGAAATACAGTCTCTGCATAGGGATGGTATTGGGGGGATGTGAGTTCTAAAGTTTACTCTCTCTTTCTCCTTAATGTACCCAGCCAGTACTAAGAGTGAAGAGGACCAGAAATGGAGATTGGGCAGATTAAAGCGGTTTTCCTTTCAAATATTTTTTTTCTTCCTTTCTTTCTTTTGATATTCTCATTATGCTTTTGTTACACCTATTGTAATTGTCCCATAGTCTCTGCATATTGTGTTCCGTGCTTTTCCTCCCCCAGTCTTTGTTCTCTTTGCTTTTGGGTTTGCAAGGATTTTAGTATTATGTCCTCTAGCTCAGAGATTCTTTCCTCAACCTGCGTCCAGTCTATTAATAAGATAATCAGAGGCATTCTTTATTTTAAATCAATATTTTTGCTCTCTAGCATTTCTTTTTGGTTCTTTCTTAGGATTCCCATTTCTCTGCTTACATTGCCCATCTGTTCTTGCATGTTGTCTAGAGCCCTTAGCATATTAATCATTTGTTTTAAAATTCTAGATCTGATAATTCCAACATCCCTGCCCTTTCTGGTTCTGATGCTTGCTTTGTCTCTTCAAGCTATGTTTTTTGCCTCTTACTATGCCTTGGAATTTTTTCCTGATAGCAGGACGTGAAGTACTAGGTAAAAGGTATTGCTGTGAAACAGGCCTTAATGTGGTGGTGAAGTGTGGGCGCAAGAGAAGCGTTCCCTAGTCCTTTGATTAGGTCCTGGTCTTTCAGTGATCCTTTACTTCCGGACTGTGAGCTGCACAAGTGTTTCTCACGTTTTTCTCTCTCCCTTAGGTGGATCAGGATGGCTAGAGTGGGCTGGAGTTGCATATTTCTCTTCCTTAAGACAGTTAAGCTCTGATAATACCCTGGCAGTTTAGGGCTCTGGTTAACTAGTTTCCCCTGAAGGCAGGCCTTGTTAACAATAACAGATTGCTCAGGCATTTCAAAATGATTCCTTTTCCCCTCCCCATTCTTCAACCAGAGGGGCTTAGTTTTAGATATTGATTGTGGGAATCTGGTCAAGCTTTTAGAATTATAAATCTCACAATATTGTGAGGGCTCTCCTATGACTGGGAACTCTGAGAGTTGTCCACACAGCCTCCGGCAATTCCGATACTTAACAGTTCAGGTTTTCCTATCTAGCACTGACTGGTTCATGCAGAGGTTTCTTCCTGAATCTCTCTGTTTCTCTGCTTTGGTGAGGCTCCCCGTTTCTGTATTGACTTGTCTGTCTCTCCAATTCTGGGGGCAACAGCAGTTAGCCCTTGGTCCTTCCTCATGCATTCAAAAAGAGTTGTTGATTTTTCAGTCTCCTTAGCTTTATTCTTGTTAGGAGGGAGTGGTGATTTCCAGGCTCTTGTTGAATCTGAATCCTAAGGGTTTTTTCCCTGATTTCCGTATTCCTTCATTCTCTGTTGGAATTTGTCTTCCCATTAAGGATATCTGGTACCGACCAGTTAGAGATCAGGTGAGATGTGTGGGAACCAGGAAGTTGCAAGTGAAGCACCTAATAGTGATTCTAGAAATAAAAGGGGCGATAGTTAAGTTGTGAAGTACCTGGGGTCTACAGTAGTTTCATGACTGAGAGGTTCAGGAAGAGGGAAATCAGAGGAGCTCTACTTTTGCTTATGAATTAAAGTTGGGTTCATTATTGATTTAAACATTGTCATTAAAAGTCACAAAGTTTTGTAAATTACAGTACTACTTACTATCCAAATTCAGACACTAGGTTAAGATAATGCAATCTCTCTCATTCTCTGAATTCAGATACTAAATTGATTTAGATAGCAAGGGATACTTGTATTTTTTCATCTTCTCTTCTTTTGATGTAGAGTAAAAAGAATTTAGCACATCTATTGAGGTTTAAAGGTTGAGAGACATGCAGGGAAAGAAATGAAATAAGAGATTATTAAACAGGTATTCTAGTGTTCATGAGTTTGTTGGAGACACGTAGTGGTTTGGCCAATGAGATAGTGTCTTGTAAGGATGAAACTGAGGTTGTGATTGTTTTGTACATATGTGCTCAGTTACTCAGTTCATGGAGACCATGAAAATAATATTTAAAATAAATGATTTTGTACGGAAAGTAACTCATAAAAATCTATCATACTTTTTAAAACTTAGTGCTATCAAAAAAATTCTGACTTCAAGAAGGAATAATTTTATACTTTATATGAGAATCTTAATATTCACTTTAAGAACATTCTGTATAATGCATAGTGGTGAATACAGTTTCTGTAAGTAAAATTGAGTCTCATAGAGGTTAAAACTATATCTTATTCTTTCATTTTTATTACTCAGGAGTTAACAATGCTTGGAAAACCGAAAAGACCTCGCTCAGCTTATAACATTTTTATATCTGAACGCTTCCAGGAAGCTAAGGATGGTACATCACAGGTAAAACAGAACTGCATTTGTTTTTTAAAATTTTGTTTATTTTAATTTTAAAAATATTTAGGAAGTTTTAGGGGTGCCACATGTGAAGCAAAGTAGTAAATTACTATAAGCAAGTCCTGTATATGAATAAGACTCTCTTTCTTGTATTCCTTTTTATAGAAAATCCTTTTTCTTACCACATAAAATTAATTTGAGTATACAATTGCCAATATATATAGTCAACTTTTTAAATTTAAAAAACATAAAATTTTTAATTTTATTGGGGTGTTAAAGTTCTAGAGACTTATTCAGCAGGTCTTAACTTTTTTACAATCACAGGGAAAGAATGAGAATAGAGCTATAATATTTTGTACTGGGTTTTGATTATAACATAACCTGTTGCTTCATGTTATATCCTTTAATAAAATTTCAATTATGCTCTTGGGGTTGTTTTATAAACATGAATGTTACCATATGAATGTGTCAAATTAAAAAAAAAAGCTTGTCATTCCTGTTGTGGCTTAGTCTTTCCTTTATTTCATTCTTAGAAGCTTCAAATTGAAAATCGTATTTTTCCTATTATAATATGGCATGTTAAGAAAAGTGGATGTTCAGATCCTTAACTCTGGTCAGTTTGAGAAGGTGTTTGCCACTTTGCTTCTTTGGGTTTTTTGGTTCTGTGGTTCATTTAACATATGATTGGAATAGTATGTATATGTGATGTAGTCTTCCCTGGCTATACTTTCACTGGTTTATTCCCTTTGGGATTTCAAATTCAGTTTTTATGGTTCTACATTACTAAAATGCAAGCCTATTTCCGTTTTTAGTAGGAATTTTGTCAGTCACTAACTTATCTTGGATTTAGTTTTCTTACCAGTACGAGAAGGTCACATGCTAGGGAATCAGTTTTCCTGGTTTTAACCTGACCTTACCTCTATTTTAACCTACTGGGTGCTGCCAATTCCTGAGCTACTTGGGGAATTCTATGTTGTAAAATGCTTTGCTTTTTTGACTTTCCCCACTGCCAGTTTGGGAAATAGCATTCATGGTTAGGTAAGCCAGGAACCATTTCTCCATGTACTTTTCAGCTTCCAAAATTTAGTGTTGGTAGTGCTCTCTCCTATTACCTTTGTTTATGTGGGTTTATGCTTTAATTGGGGGGGGGGGTTGTTATTAATTTGTTTATTTAAAAATAAACATTGCTCACAGTTCTGGAGGCTGGGAGGTTCAAGACCAAGGTGCTGTCATGGTTGCCTTCTGGATTCATAGCTGGTGCCTTCTCACTCTGCCCTTATATGGTGGAAGGGCTCATTTAATATGGTTCTAGGAGGAAGCAAAACATCTTTCTATCTCTTTAAGTTTTTATTTAAAAAACTTTTTTGTAAATGAATTATTTGGGTGAAAGATCGGATTGTTTATACATGCAACTTCATAAATTATTGTTAACTCGGTGAATATGAAGCTTTATGGATTAAACTTTATGGATAAGTAAAAGATTAGTTATGAAAGAATCTAGAGCTTTAAAGTAATTGCTTCCAGTGCTAAGACTCAGACCAGTTATTTATTAACTGTCCCTGAATACATTTGAAATGTTTATAAAGATAAGTTTAAAATGTTCCAAACATAATGGTTATGTAATCTCAGGTACTATCTGGTTCCTTTATTTTTGTTGATAGGAAAATAAAATTTATTCAGAGTTCTGGTCAGAACAATAAAGTTCCAGTTAGGACAATAAAGTTCATTATTCTCACTCTGCTTTTCCTTAAAATCACTGATGATCTCCTCCTAGTTTTAAACAGATACTGTTCAGACTATTTCTCTCTTTCTCACACTCCCCTTCTTCTACCCTTCTGTCTGCATCTCTGCCCCTCATTTTCCACTCACTTATTTTTCCCTTCATTTTCTACTCTCTGGGAGCAAAATCACAGGTTGCACGAGGTGTGCTGACTTTCCTCTCTGCCTCTTTTCCCGCCATGGGATTCCTGTATCCCTTTAATTTTATAGATGAAGAACCAAGCCTAAGGGAGATATTATGACTTTTTTCCAAGTCACATAATTAAGTTCAGCTAAGTAAAATTAAGGACTGGTGTATTGTTTCTACAACTACACCTAAACACTTTGGCACACATTTTAGAATAAAACATTAAGCTACAGGGAAGAAATAAAACAGCTTAGTCTCTGAAGTTAGATAGTGACAGAATGCAGATTATACTTGAATATTAGTATTTCTGGATCAAAAAAGGTAAATATCTTCAAAATAAAGGAAACCAGTAAAATGAAAAGGCAACCTACCTAATGGGAGTAAATATTTGTATATCACAAGGATTAATATCCAAAATATATAAAGAATTCATACAACTCAATAGTGAAAAATTCAGTCTGATTAAAAAATGAGCAGAGGATCTGAATAGACTGTTTTTCCAAAGAAGTCATATAGATGGCTAACAGGAACATGACAAGGTGCTCAGCATTACTAATTATCAAGGAAACGCAAATTGAAACCTCAGTTCACCTCACCTGTTAGAATGGCTGTTATCAAAGATAAAAAATAAGTGCTGGTGAGGATGTGAAGAAAAGAAAACCCTGTGCACAGTTGATGGAAATGTAAATTGCTGTAGTCCAGTATGGAAAACAGTATGGAGATTCCTGAAAAAGTTAAAAATAGAGCTACCATATGTCTAGCAATTCTATTCTGGGTATTTATCCAAAGAAAAAACACTAACTTGAAAAGGTATCTGAATTCCTGTGTTCATTGCAGCATGATTTACAGCAGCCAAGATGTGGAGTCAATCTAAGTGTCTCTCAATGGATAAATGGATAAAGCAGCGTGTGTGTGTGTGTATAATATGTTTATACTGTATGTAAAATGGAGTATTATTCAGCCATAAAAAGAAGAAAATCTTTCTGTTTGCAACAACATGAATGGATCTTGAAAGCATTATGCTAAGTGAAATAAATCAGACCAGAGAAAGGCAGATACTGTATGATCTCACTTATATGTGGAAAAAATAAACTTAATAACTAAGCTCAGAGATAGAATTGGTGGTTGCCAGGGATTGGGGGAGATGGGTGAAATGGATGAAGGTAGCCAGAAGATGAAAACTTCCAGTTATAAGTCCTGAGATCAAATGTACAACATGGTGATTAGAGTTAATACTACTGTATAGCATGTTTAAAGTTTCTCAGAGAGTAGATCTTAAAAGTTCTCATGAGAAAAAAAATTTATGGTGACGAATGTTAATTAGACTCATTGTGATCATTTCAGAATATATACAAATATCGAATCATTATGTTGTACACCTGAAACTAATACAATGTTACATATCAATTATATCTCAATAAAAACAGATAAATATCTTCATTCTAGGCGTTTTGTATTTTTTAACAAGTTTAATAGTTTAGAAAGAAAAGGTTAAGAATTGATGAAGCTTTGCCTGTGATTCTTGATATCTGAGTTTTTGTCGTTGGAATGAATAATAAAAAAAAGATCTTTAATCCTTGAGGTCCCTATATCTGGTACTTAAACATATGTTGTTTTACAGTTAAAGCTGAAGACTGTAAATGAAAGCTGGAAAAATCTCTCTAGTTCTCAAAAGCAAGTAAGTAGTATGGTTTTAGTCTCAAGTGTCTAGTTAGAATATTTGAGGGAATATATTAGAGTAAGGCTCAGTTTGTGTGAAAGCAACCTTATATTACTAATAACACAGTTAAAGTGTCTTTAAATAATTTCATATTCTTAGAACCAATTTGGCTTTTTTATTTTGGTAGTTTTCGACTGAAAATAAAATTGGTGTTTGAAACAATGTCACACAGAATTTACTGTCCACTGTATCCAGTGATAGTCACATCCTGCCTCTGCTCCTTTCCTGAAATTGTAACAACTTCATTAATACAAAATTATCTCTTATGGACTTTTTTCTCATTTAATTTTTATCTCACAAAAATATTTCTTCTCCAGTACCTTTTTTATACATGTAGAATAATAAGGTAATTTCTAAAGTATATATGCAAGTGTTCAAGAAAATAATTGCAAACATTCTTCTAAAGAAATCATTTTAACAGTTACACTTTTTCTCAGGTATATATCCAACTTGCTGAAGATGATAAAATTCGTTATTATAATGAAATCAAATCTTGGGAAGAACAAATGGTTGAAGTTGGACGAATTGATCTTCTCCGTCGCAAAATGAAGCCCCAAGCAAAAAGCACTGAGAAGTGTTAAATAGAAGATTGAGTTATGTTCATAGTGGATAGATACAAGAAACCAATTAGGTCTCAATACCTGAAGCCGTTGTTAAATTAGAAAGGATAAAGTTGGTAAACATTTTATACTTAATTCCTTTTTCTTTAGCCCATGGACTTCTGCCAGTTCAATACATTTTGTATGAGTATCTTGCTTTGGAAAACCCAAACAGATAAAAAATTCACTTGAAATTTATTTTGCGTTTAGGAACTACTAAGGGTTAAAATAATCCATGAAATGTATCAATGATCATTTTACCTTTGATAAAGGTGAATCAGACTGTGAAGTTTTTTTATACTTGTTGACTGGGAAGAGTATTCTTGTTTCCTTATATTATGGAGGCAGGGGTTTCATATTCAAAAGTGTCCCAAATTGTAGAGCCATAATGTTCTGTGATATAATTGTGCATTGTTTAAAAGAGCACCAGGAACTCATCTAGGTAAATTCCAATTCCTAGGCATCATTCACATTATATTCAGATTTGGTGGTAATGCAAGGGATTGCTGGTTTCGGTTACAACTTTTTGTATAAAGGATAGAGAGATTTATAAACCTTTTTCTCATTGCCTTTTTTCATAAATTAAAAACTAAGAAATTATGTACCAAATCTATGCATATTTTATATTGCATAGAATACATTTTTTTGTTGTTGTTTCTTAATTACATGTTTAAGATGTAGCAGTTGTTTTACAGCTTCTTTTGGTCTTTTTTTTGTTTGTTTTTTAAAGTAAGGATGTGTAATCTAAATTATTTTTTCTCTCTCGTGTGAGTATATTTATCCAGAAAGTAGAGAACTTGTCTGGTAAGTTTTAAAATGAGAGCTCTAAAAAACAGAAGTCTCCAAAGTCTCTAGACGTGGAACCTGCAATTTTTAAACATTTTATATAACATATAACATATTTTATATAACATATAAAAAGTCAACTTTGACCAATGGGCCAGATCTAGCCCACTGCCTGCTTTTCACGGCCTGTGAGCTAATAATTGTGTTTACAATTTTAAAAGGTTAAAGAGAAAAGGAATATTTCAAGACACGTGAAAATTAACATGAAGGTCAATGTCCATAAATAGTCTTATGGAGTCCAACCATAGTCATTTATTTATTATTTATGGCTGCTTTTGTGCAACAGTGACAGAGTTGAGTAGTTGCTACAAAGACTAGCCTGCAGATGCCAAAATATTTACTGTATGACCCTTTACAGAAAATGTTTGTCAAGCAGTGGTCTCTTAGTATAGCGTAGTATGACAAGTGTTCCAACGTATTAATATGATGGGATAGGTTTTTAAACTATTATAGAGGTTCTTGTTTTAGAATCGTTGTCACCATTGTCTTAAGAGGAAAGAGGTCAGATCACTTACAAGCTAAATAAACTTGTCCCACAGCGTTAGCAAGAAAAATAGTCTTGTTTCAAATTACGTTGCAGTAAAATAAAAAAGATCTATCTAGTATGGAATGAGATTCTCTTAAATTATTTGCTATGGCTTGGTAAAATGAACCTTAAGAGTTTTCCAGTTAGCATATATCACAAAACCCTTTTAGCATTTGTTTACCTCTTGGGAGAATCAGGAATTTTCAAAATCCACATTACTTTTTGAGAAAAATCATGTGTCTTTTGTCATCAGTTCACAGGAATAGGATAATTCAAAATTTATATGTACCTTATATTATGCAAAATATTTAGAAATTCTAGATTCCTTATCTCCAGAAAAATTTTGAAGATTTTTGTCGTAGTAGATAGAAAGTAAATAAACAGTCATGAAAAGGTGACTTGTTAAATACTGAACTTGACAAAGCTAGGGACCGAAGAGAAAAAATATAACTTGGGAGGAAGCTCAAGATTTAAATATGTAAAGTTGGGTGTTTTCAAACAACTTTTACCCTGTGGTTAGGAATACAGGACAAAGTCGGCTATTAGTTAAATAGATACCATGGGGAGGAGGGATTGGGGAAGAAGAGTGTCTATCACAGTCTTTCAAAATTGGGTTTCCAAGAGAGAATTAAGCCCTAATTCTCTGTGGCATCTATAATGGTACTGATTATGTACCATACTTAGGAGAATGGAGAAAATGACTCATCATTTACTGTTTTCTGGGTTTCACACGAGCCCAGGGAGCACATAGGAGTCGGTGTTTGTAACATAGGATGGGTGAGGTAGAGATACGAGTTATGTATACATCTGTAGGACAAATGTAGTATAAAACATCTTTACAATTACCTTTTTCTGAGATATTTTACCATTCAACTACATACACAATTTTATACAGAACACATTTAAGTCCTATCTAACCAATTAGGAAGTTCATTGTATAGTAAGTTCTCAGATGTTTACAACTTAATGTAGGGGGAAAAGTGTGAAACAGTGAAGAGAGCTAGAGCATAACCATTTTGTGATATCAAATTTTGTTTCTAAAGAATATCATTGTTAATTCTTTAAATATTACGACAGTCATTCTACACCTTAGTAAACCAGTATATGTCGAAGATTGGTATGCCATATACCAAATACCATCCAGTTTAACAAGAGGCCATACATTTTCTATTATAAAGGATAAGAACATACCAATAACCAGTGGCCACTCATAATAAAGCCTTACTTTTAGAATTAAGTTGAGTCAACAAAGTAATTGCTGTAGAAGCTAAAGAATGCTAGGGGGAAAGATGCTGAAGAAATAAAACCAGTGTTTTTGCTGTTCTGAGCATATGTTCAGTCATAAAGAAATTTTCATACTTCTGTTCATTGGAGTACCGATATTAGGTTTTTTGAGATAAATGACTTTCTGGTGTTTAAAGATATTGTGTGCAGATTTAACCTACTGTAATCATGTAATGTCGCCGTAGCTTTTGGCTAACTCCTTGTTTGGAAATGCCATTTTTTAACAAGGCATATATTTTATAGTTCTGATGTGTATATTTAAATTTCTGAATTAAAATATTAGAGTTGATTTAAAGTCACTAGGAAATTTTAGTGATTTTTCTGACCCGTACCTAAAATTAATCATCACTGAGTTTTTGTAGTTAAGTGATAGTATCCATTGTTTTTCTTAATTTTATCAGTATTTACTATAAGAATATTCTCTCCCTTTCTTTCCTCACAGCTACTCTTTCTCCTCTTCATAACATCAAGCTCTTATAGACAAATTTGAAAATGTTACAAGGACAGACTGTTGAAATTTTAAAGTAGTAATATTCTTTTTAAAATTGAACCTTTGGAAAGAATAAGAAAATGAACATATTTATTACTTTGAATTTGTAAAACTTTCCAAACAGTAAAACTATACAAAGTTAGTATCATGAGTTTCTCACATTGTTCGCAAATAAAGTACTTTTGGCAATCGATTAAATCACTGATTATATTTAATGGAAAATACAGAAAACACAAAATAATTTCCTAGTACAGTCATCTCAGTATCTGTAGGGGATTTGTTCCAGGACCCATTCCCCCAATTGTCTGCCTCATTTACCAAAATCTATGGATGTTCAAGGCCCTTACATAAAATAGTCTACTGAATAGTAGTTGTATTGTTTAGGGAATAATGACAAAAAAAACCTGCCTATGTTCAGTATAGACAACCATCTGGGCCTAACTACATAGTACACATTAGCAACAATATAAATTTTTCCATTATTTTCAATGAGCAGTTGAATCTGCAGATCTGGAACCTGCAGATATGGAAGACCAACTGTAAATTTAAAAATATTTAAAAATTTTACTGGCTAAGGAGCTAAATGCTTAGAATTGGCCCTAAACAAGTTTTAAATGAGCTAAACATTAAAAATCACCCTAACATTTAAATCATTCTTAATGATTTCTGATTTAATACGTGATGAGCAAGAAAATATTTGAGTTCTTTTTTGCCTGTATAAAAATATCGAATTTCATTCCTCCTCCCCAACAAATCATGTATAAGATAGGGAAATAAGGAAGTCCATAGTTTTGACTCTGACCTTTTATTATATAGGCTGCCAACTACCAGTGTTTACATTAAAAAAACTTGATTGGGTTATGCCCATCTTTATGGTTATATTTTTACTGGAAATTCCGTGCACTGAGTTGTGAATAGGGTTAAGTGATGAGAGGAGGGCTTCAAGTTTGTTTATTAATCATTCAGAAATTGCTGAAGCATTATGACCATTCTCAATTTTGGATTTTTTTCTTCAGTCACCAGAACAGGTCTTCAATACTTGTGTAACTAAAGTGAACAGGAATTTTACTGGTGGTAGATAAATATAGATGCCAGTAGTTTTTCCAAGCTGGAATTTATACCCTGATTATATAAGACTAAGATGGGAGTAGTGGAGATTTGTTAAAAGTGTAGAAATTTTGTCTTAATTTTGACACTAGTAACATCTGAATTTATATAAGCTTAGTATCAAATATTAATTAGACCTAAACAATTCAGGTTATTTCCCCAAAGCTATCCCCTCGCCCTTAGTTTTTATTTTTGCAGGGCTCCTACTTGTCATTTGTAATAAGCCTGAATGACTGAATGGATGGTGATACATGTCACAACCCTTAGCCAATACTATTGACAGTGTTATCTTGGATTTAGAAGGGAAGGGTTCCTCTTTTTTATGGAAAATGGGAATTGGTTGTTGATTCAATTTGTTGCTGAGTGGTAAGAACAAGAAAATGTACATGAGCAAAATAATTAGAACTAGCCATTGTTCTCTATAATAAAGACCAAGGGATGAAAAAAGGTTTGAAAACGGTGAGACTAAATCCTCTTCCCTTTTCCTTTTCCAAAATTTCATCAAAGTGACTCAAGAAATGCAAAACAAGTAGAGTAGACAAATACAGCAACATCAGAAAACAAGAAAGCATCATCAATAGAGCAGCAATTTGTAGGTACTTTTGGAAGGCAGGTAAATAGTGATTAACAGGTGCTCATTGGTCTCATTATGAGCAAGCCACATAAAGTGAGCGAAGTAAAAACATGGAGGTCTCACAAGTTCTGAGCTGTAGGGGCCAGTACAAAGGTTAACTCCTAAGGTGCTTGGAGAGAAATTGGGATTGAGTGGGGCCTGAGAGGATTAAGTGCAAATGGACAGACTAAAGAGTTTGTTTCTCCCCAGTTATTTGCTTAAACTGAGAAAAGTAGAGTGATGAGCTATTGCATAATGGGCTCTGTTCAAACTAGGTGCTGTGATTCTCAGCTCTTGCTCAATAGAATCAACTCTAGTGCTTTTAAACATGCAGACGCCTAGGCCAGAATCTGGAGAGTAGAACTGAGCTTCGGAGTTTTTGTACAAGTTCTGTTGGTGAAATCAGGGTCGAGAACCACTTCAGGGGAGTAGTGTAGCTTCCCTGGTAGCTTCCCAACCTGGTGTGTTAGGGGCTGGTATTGAGTGGGTTATAGATAGCATAGTTGTAATCCATCATCTAAGCTGGAAGGTTTTTGAAAAAGTGAAAACTATATATACACACACATCAGGCAACTTAGGACATATGGTCACTGTAGTTAAGAGTGCTTAGTTTTTCCTTTTACCTTTTTGTGTAGTTGGGCTATTGCCTGGAAGAGCCAGAGTTCTCTATAAGGAGCCTCTTCTGTTTACTCCAGCATGCCTTGTGAATATTAGCATTTTCTTGTATGTCATGATGTGAAAAAGATTGGTAAATACTGTTTATTTAACCCCAGGCTACTTTTAACACATGTAAGATGTGAGTTTCTTCTGAAAGAGATACCACTTCTCCTGGTGTTGAATCCCCAACTTAAATCCTGGCCAGTAGGCCTAATGGTGCTTGAAGTATGGAATCAAGCTGGCTGAGAACTGTTTTCCCTTTATTCCATGTTTGCCCAGACATATTTGCTTTCTTTTTAAGAGCACATGGAACATTCTTTAGGATAGGCCATAGGTCATAAAACAAACCTCCACAAATTTTAAATGATTAAGATCATGCAAAATAATCAAAAAAGAATGAGATTTGGGGAGTTAACAAATGTGGAATTTAAACATCATATTTCTAAATAACCAATATACCAAAAAATAAATCACAAGAGAAATAGAAAATGCATTGAGATGGATGAAAATGGCAACATACCAAAACATGAGATAATAGCTAAAGCAGTGCTTAGAGGGATATGTATAACTGCTACTGCCTACATTATAAAAGATCACAAATTAACAATCCAACCTTTCCCCTTAAGATTAGATAAAGAGCAAACTAAGCCCAAAACGAGGAGATGGAATGAAATAAGAATTAGAACAGAAATTAATAAAATAGAGAAAATGACACCAAAAGTTGGTTCTTTGAACTGATCTTTAAAACTGGCAGACTTTTAGCTAGATTGACCTAGGAAAAAAAGATTCAAATTACTAGAATTTGAAATTAAAGAGGGATCTTTATTACAGACTACAGAAATAAAGAGAATTAGGAAGGAATACTGAGCAATATTATGCCAATAAATTAAATGAACAAATTTCTGGAAAGAAACTACTAAAATGTATAAGCTAAAGTATAGCTGATAATTTGGGAGGAAGTGGAGGTTTTCTAATATTTGTTAGTCAAGAAAAAAATGTAAATGTTATTTAAAGTTATACAGCAATGGAAGAAAAACCAAAATTGGGAGAAGTAGTGTTGTGATTAAAATTTTCATCTTTTATGGAGACATTACTTATTTATAAATAAAGATGTAGAGGTACAATCACGTTAGAGTTATGGATGTAATCATACTAAACCTGAAAAGTGGAGTGGCTAGCCTGGGAGGTAGAAATAGGTATGGGAGGGCAGGAGGGTGAGACTTGCTTTTCTTCTGCTACTCTTTTTCTGACTGATGTTTTTATTTCTATATATTATTTAAATTTTTTAAGTGGAGAACCAAAACATCAATAGATATTTTGAGGAAAGGAAAAAACACCATGAACAAGAAAGATTTCATTGTTCCAGAGCTCTTAAGGGGTTAGCCAGGATTCAGATCCCACTTTTTTTGATTCTACCATTATGTTATACAGTCTTCCATTTTAGTTATTTAGTCCTTACTATGTTACAGATAATGTAAAGCACTTTATATGAATTACTTATTTAGTTCTCACTGCAACCTGATGAGGTTGGTGCTATAATTTTCTCTCTGCAAAAATGGGATTACCAGATACTAAGTAACTTTCTTAAAAGTGGCAGCACCACAATTTGAATCTAGATACCTTGACTCCAAAGCCTTCTCTCTTAGTTACCCAATCATTTTGAAATTTGAAGGACAAAATTTTAAATTTAAGAAAAGTTTAAATAAAACTACAAAATGTCAAAAGACAAGTGTGCTCAGCATCTGTCACTCCAAAACACATTTTTAATATATGTAGAAAGAATCTACAATTTCGTATTCTACCATATGAATATATTTTTCTTTGATTTTACCCCAGCTATGATATTCACAAATCTTCATGTACCCCTTTGACTGATCTCTGTAAAAATGGTGGCAGGAAAAAAGTTGATGCATTTAGGGAATAGACAGGAGGACAATGTGGCCAAAGTGCACTAGATACCCTGGAGAATATGAGACGTGGTTAGTGGTAGGGAGATCTGAGATGCTAACAAACAGTTGATCATCCAACCATCAGAGTGATATAGGAAGAATTCATATTTGAAATTGATTCAATTCAAAATTAAAATTCGTTGATGTATTTTTAGCACTTTTATTAAGGTATAATCCACATATTAAAGTGTGCAATTAAATTTTTTTTTAGTATATTCAAGAGTTGTGCAACCATCACCACAATCTAATTTTAGGATGTTTTCATCACTCCTAAAAGAAATCCATACCCATTAGCTGTCACTCTCCATTTCCCACCCCCTAAGCAACCAAAACCACTAATCTTCCTCTGTCTCTCTATATTTGTGTATTCTGATATTTCATATAAATGAAATTATACCTAGGAAATACTGGCTATTACGGTAATGATCTTTAACCACGTGAAGAACTACCAGGCTGTTATCCAAAGTGGCCGTACCATTTTGTATTTCCACCAACAAGGTATGAAGGTTCTAATTTCTCCACATTTACATTTTTCTTTTATTTTTTAAATTGGGATATAATTGACATATAACAACATTAGTTCCAGGTGTGCAACATAATGACTTGATATTTGTATGATTACAGAGTGATCAATACAATAAGTCTGGTTAACATCTCAATGCATTGCTAGGTGGTGATTCTTTTTTCCTTGTGTTGAGAACTTTTTAAGATTTACTCTGTTGGTAACTTTTAAACGTATAGTTCAGTATTATTAAATGTAGTCACCATACCGTACATTACATCTTCAGGACTTATTTATTTTATATGTGGAATTTTGTACCTTTTGCCCACCTTTACCCATTTCACCCATGGTAACCACCAATCTGT